AGACTTTATATTTTGATTCTCAGCAGAGTAGTATTTTACACAGTGCTGTTACATTCATACGCTCTCCTTTTTCAGTAACTCTCTTTGTTAAAAGTAAATTGAAAATATACTTTAAACTGAACATCTGGTTTGGTCTGAGCCTGAAGACTATTTTCCCCTTTTTTTAATGTGACAACTTTTGTGTTTGGGCCTCTACAAACTGATTACCTCCAATGAAAGTGACAACAGCTTCCTCTCAGATAGTTTATAGTCTGTCATTTACATGATCATGTTCAGATCATCCAGGACGTGTCTTCTCACTCTCCTATATATGTGTTTTCTGTGTGCATGCAGTTTTGTGACATGAGGTTTGCATGCTGTCTATTCTGTCAGAAGACGTCTCTTTTTCTTTTTCCTTTCCAGTTTATGTTTACCTGTGTATGTGTGTCTGATGTGTGTGTCCTGTAATGTTTGGTGTGTTTCTGTAGCATTTAACAAAGTCACTGGATGGATAGCATCGACGCTGACGCCCTCTACCTGACCACAGCGCAGATCGGGCAACCTCAATGCGAGCTTTCCCTTCCTGCTGTGGAAGTACCTGCCCTTGGCGGGTAAGAACTCATACACTCCACATCCTTTTACCCCAGGGGTGTGAGGATACCCTCCATCTACAGGTTTTCCCTCAGTGGCAAACAAGTCTTTTGAGCAGCTTCTCTTTGAAGCTGGAATGAGAAGAAAAAGTACGTTTTGTCATTTCTCCTTTTTTTCCAAATAGTTAGCATATCTGCTGTGAGCAGGCCACCAGATGTCACTGCATGACTAGCGATGATGTCATGGCCTATTTGAATATCTTGAGAGACTGACTGTTGAGGAAGAAAAAAATGATAACATGCTGATTAATTGCTGAAACATTTTTGTAAGGATGTTCTTTTATATATTCCTACATAAATTATTTATATGCATTATTCTCTGAACGAATCATTTTACAAACATATAATTGTTTTTTTGTTTGGCAATCAAGGAATTTTGAATGTTATTTGTTATATACTTATAATTGGGCCATTGGCGTTTTTGTGCTAAACAAGACTAAATGGTATACCTCAGTCTGCCTGTGGCTTGTTTTGCATGACACCTTTGACTGCGAGCTTGTAACATGACCCATGTTGCATGACCCCGAGCAGCCCGTTCCTCCCTCTCTTCCGCCACCCCCACCATGCTGGGACAGGGCACCGTTCATGGCCCGTTGCCGGAACACGATTGTGTCCTAGGGGCGCTTCAGCTCGGGGATTACCAGAGAGCTGCCCGTCCCCATTCATTCCTGCCGCTCACTCACGCTTATCAGCATCAATCTGACGCTTTATTTATCTGACACTGCACTCCTTTCTGCTGTGCTAAGAGAAAAACTCACAAAAAAGTCCCCCTCCATCAGCACTTTCCTTTGTGGAAGCAGGGGTGCAGCTTTTAGTGGCCCGTCGGGCCCGTCCTAATCCTCAGTCCCAGCCCAGTGACCAGAGCTACGGCCTGTGTTTGTCATCCTGCCCAGTGCCGAGCCTCAACGTTGTCTCTCTTTGCTCCATGTTGATTTGAGTTTTGTGGGATCTGATCAGCCTCCATGAGGTGTACATTTCCCTTTCTCTCTCAGCTGTTCCCATGTCACTTCTCACGACTTCTGAACCTTGAGAGGCGTTGTATAGACGGATAGTTGCTGTGGCTGTTTAAGTGTAAACAAGTGCTTTTTTGTGGATTCTGTCAGTGTTCCTTTGAGACTTACTGATTGGTCAAGTGCTGTAAAAATGGCTTCCTTTAAGCTGGATTTTCTTCCTGAGATGATGGTGGACCATTGCAGTTTGACTTCCAACCCAGTGTGAGTACAGACTTTACTGTTCAGCTTGGCGTAACTTGATTTGGGTTTCACTCTAATACCTTAAGTTCTTTTTTTTGGTAGTCACTGTATTAGAGGAATTTTTTTTAACTACAGAGACTGTTTAATTTTGTTAATTAGTGTGGTTTAAAATCTGAGTGATTTTACTGGTTGGTTTGTGTCTTATTCTGAGCCAAAAGGCCAGTAAATGTCAGGCAGTATTTTCAGTATTCAGGAGCTGAAAGTCAATGCCCAATGGCCAGAGGCCTGCAGTGAGGGATGCAAGTTCATGTTTACTATGTAGTAAACATGTTGTTGTTTTTATTATTAGACAGTATTCATATCATTCATAGTTTATTCACAACCTAGTTTGAAACCTCTCCTTTAATTAACAGCCCTATAATTTGACTGTGTATGATCTAGTAGATGTGATCTGCTAAATGAAGGTATGTGGACATTTCATGATCTGCCCAGGAAAAGCAAAAAAGAGAAGCAGAAATATTCCTCAAATAGTTAGTCGCTCACATTTTTTAAAGAGGAAAGTAAAATTCTTGTTTTACTACTTACTCCCCTATTTTGAGTGGCTGTTCCCTGTCAGTTACTGTATAGAAAGGATATTATGCCCCTTATATTATTTATAGGTTAACACAATATTTCATTCTTTGCTGTTGCAGGATGCTGAAATAAAACATTTCAGTGTTTTGTCTTATTAAAATCACAAGGCTTGTTTGTGATTCTCACTGTGAGGTTTTACAACCTCAAAGGGAACAATTAAGCCAAGAACGGGGCTAGGAACTGCTGACTGAGCTAGAGCTATGGTAAACTGACTTCTCTGAATCTCTTGCATAACAAATAACCCAAAAAGAACAGAGTTCATTGTTAATAATAGTCTTCACTGAATGCTGCATTCATATACTATTCATATGAATTTGCAGCAATGGGAAAGTAATGACTACCATCTTGATAATCTCCCTTTCTTGTTCTTCCATTTGGGTTTAGTAGTTTTTGTTGAATCGGTAGAATCTTCTGATTCTTCTCCAACATTGTGTTCTGATGTTCTGTGACTTTAGCTAATCCCAACAGTCAGGAACTGGTCAGTTCCCTGGGAAAGAATTTACAATCCTTAATTGTCTTTTTCCCAGTGAACACCCAATGTCGCTCTTGCCCAGGATGTTCTTCTAGAGAGGCTGTGTTATCTGCTTGTCTGAACAAGTTCTGGTTACTGGAAAATCGACGAAGCGGAAGGTTTTATAAGCTCTGCTGTCCTCTGATCAATAAACGCCATTAATCTGGCTTTTAGCTTCTGGCTAATGCTGCTCTTTGTCAGTAGGACAATGCAGTGTTTTCGGAAAGTGATCTGTCACTCCACTGATTAGCAGCTGCTAAAGAGTGTGATGAAGCAGTGCTTCAGGCCTGTCCATGACATCACGCGTGCTTCTCCTCATGCTCTACTCTGTCCGAAGTTTCAAGATGTTCTTTTGATTCATTCCCATCACAGACTTTGATATTCTTTTGTGTTATCTGACAGTTTCCTTTTTCTTTTTAATGTCTTGTTTGGTGGTTTATTGATTGAAGTCCAAGTCTACTTTCTAAATCCATTGTGAATCTATATACACATTTCAGTATTTTTTATTTATTTTATTTTTTTAAAATCTTTGGCCTCGTAATGTTTAATCAATGTCATTACTGGACCTTCAGGTGAAAACGACAGATCTATTTCCAGATTTCTGGATGCTGGATTTCTGCAATCATTTAGTCTCCTTAAAGTCTTTTTAAGGCTTCATATATAGTTTGAGCAGGGATTTTACTCTTGTTTGCGCTTCACGGAAGATGTGAAATAAGAAGTACACAGATAAGATGTACTCATTTTTAGGCCATTTACCCATCTTAACCTTAAGCAAATGCATTCTGCCTGGTTCAGACTACACGATTTTAGCCCGATTTTGGCACGATCCGTTTGACGTAGGGCGTCATGGGGATTCGTAAACGACAACGGGCGTCGGGACGAAAGATTCGATCGTATCATCTCGTATAGTGTGTCATAGTGGGCGACAACCTACGTCGCGTCTGCGACGCTTCACGACAAAAAGACTAGCATGTTTAATTTTTTTAACGGTCGTCCATGACGGTTCCGTCACATGTATGAGGTTGACCAATAGGAGCACAAGCTTTTCTGTATACAACTTTCAAAAAAGACAAAACGAAAGATAGACGATGGTGCTAACGTTAAAACTAGAAGTAAAAATACATAAGAAAACAATATTTTATCTCAAGTTCTCTGTGGAGGATTGACAGCCCATACTGTCCCTTTCGAGCAGGGTTCTCAAGTCTCACGCAATGGCCATGAGACATACGCAATTCAACTAGTTCACACACTCACTCGCCACACCGTGTATTTCTCGCGCTGAAAAGGCAATGCCGAGCAATCCAGGAACTCACTCGCTACGAGTTTCGCGATGACAGCCGTTAAACACTGCATGCGATGACTGGTCAGGAAGTAACGTGTAGTCTGACATGTGTCTTGTCCACGACACAATAAGATTTTAGGAGTCAAAATCGCATAATCTGACACAGTGACTATCGTAACAAGCAAAAAAAAATCGTGTAATCTGAACCAGGGATTTAAATATTGGCAAAGCTGACCAAGTGGAAACTGTTTTTAGACCAAGCTTTGATTTGGCAGATAACAATCATCAACTGGTTTAATCAGTCTGACCGATCAGTCGAATACTGGTGTGCTGTTGGTAAATAAGGCTGCATTTGCACTGCAGGTCTTGATGCCGAAATCCGATTTTCTGACTATATCCGACTATATGCTTACATGGCACACGCAAATGCACGTATCCGATTTATTACCACATATGAATGAGGCCTGAATCGGATCTGAGAAAATCGGAATCCATGCGTTTTTTTCCTGCTTACACGTTCACCGGTCATATCCGATCTGATTTGGGTCACTTGAACCATGCAGTGTAAACGAGGCCTAAGACTGTTGTAATTTGGGGGATTTTTATATTTGGGCAGTGGGCACGATATGAGATTGTTGTGTGCATCCTTCCAAGTGCGATATGTTTGAGTATCATCATCTGTCAGGGAGACATTGAGGGCCATGTCCTTAAGACTAGTTAAACAGATTTAGTTTTTTTTTTCTTTTTTGTAGAACCAAGAAGATGAATGGGTCTCTGGACCACCCAGACCAGCCCGACATTGATGCTATAAAGATGTTTGTGGGTCAGGTCCCCCGGACGTGGTCAGAGGATCAGCTGCGTGAGCTGTTTGAGCCCTATGGTGCAGTTTATGAAATCAATGTTCTTCGGGACAGGAGTCAGAACCCCCCACAGAGTAAAGGTACTTGACAGTCAGTACACTGCAGACTTTTACGGTCTGTTCCAAATCCTAGTGAGCACATAGCGCACACACACACATGCAGTGGCCTAAAAAAGTTGTCTTGTGTGGCAGAGCAATTATGTTGCCTACTTTTTGGAACAGTTAAAATGCTGCTCGCTAGGATTTGGAATGCAGTTCTAGAAATTGGTCTCAGTGGAAATGTTGTCATCTTGGACTTGGTTCATAGACCATTTATTGCATTTGCAGGTTGTTGTTTTGTCACATATTACACCCGTAAATCTGCGTTAGAAGCACAAAATGCCCTTCACAACATGAAGATTCTTCCAGGGGTGAGAAAAGGATCTACTTTTATTTTATTGTATCAATAATCGATATATCCTTCATTTTCAGTACACACAAATGAAATAATGAAAGCTTTTCAAACAGCTGATTTCTCATTGGGGGCTGTCAGTGAAAATGTCAGTGTTGATAAGTCACTTTTTTTTTTGTGTGTGTTTTTATTTGTGTTTTCTCTGTACAGATGCATCATCCCATACAGATGAAACCTGCAGACAGTGAAAAAAACAATGGTGAGCGACTTGAATTTACTCAAAGTTAAGGATCAATCAAAGAATCCTAAAAAAGATGCATCACTGTTTCTCGAAGAAAAAAAATTAAAACAATTCCGCAGCAACTTTTTTCAACATTTGATAAGTGTTCTTGACTTATGACTATATTAGAATGATTTCTGAAGGATCGTATGAGTAATGAAAAATCAGCTTTGCTAAATTGTTGATTTGTAATATTTCACAATATTACTGTTTTACTGTATTTAATTAAAAAATGCAGCCTGAGTGAGATTAAGATAATTCTTTCAAAACATCTTACCAACCCCAAATATTGAACGGCAGTGTGTTGCTTGAGGAAATGTTCACTAGGGCTGGGCAAAAAAAAAAAAAAACAGATTTTTTTTGATTAATTCGATTTAAAATGGATTCTCAAAGGCCATGAATTGATTTTTTTATGTCACCCAAAAGCCATATTAGTTTTCCTACACTGTTCATAGGCTTACAGCCTCCATGTTGCAGCTAATGCTGTGAGATTTTATGTTTGTTTAATCTTAAACATAAAATAACCTGATCCCGTTTGGTCAAGGCATACCACTGTTCTGACTTGTCCAATTTTGAGCATTAAATTTTTCGTCTTGCATCAAAATCCTGTCCATTCATTGCATAAATTTGAAATATATTGTTGGGTTCTGTTTTAATATACCCAAGTGTACCTAAAATAAAGTTTAATATACAGGTTTGTGGCTCTTATTTTCTTTTTTTATTAATTAACCACTTGTAAACTTTTATTAATTAACCACTTGTTCACTGTTCTTTCTTTTTTTTAAAAAATAATATAGAATCTGTAATCGAATCAAATTGTAACATGTGACTCGATACCCAGCCCTAATGTTCACAAAGACTGTTGAACAGCTGTGCAGAGGCAGTGCTGCCATAACACACTTTTCTTGTGTTTTTTAGCGGTAGAAGATAGAAAGCTGTTTATTGGAATGGTTTCAAAGAAGTGTAATGAGAATGACATCAGGCTCATGTTTTCTCCATACGGTCAAATTGAGGAGTGCCGTATACTGAGAGGCCCTGACGGACTGAGCCGCGGTGAGAACTCTCAAGCACATGTATATTGTCACTATCACCAACTGAAGGAAATTATACACCCATCATGCAACCCGATTTAAAAAAAAAAAGAAGAGAGGGAGAATAGAGGCAGTACTGTGAATGTTTTGCCTTCTAGCATATACACAGATGAATTTAACTTCAGCAGTCTTTCCTTCTGTGCACTGGTAGCAAAATATTAAACATCTTCATCAGTTACTCTCTCATTTTAGTTATTTCGAGGAAGTAGTTTTTGCATAACTAATAGTTGCAGACACAACCCATCAGAGAAAAATGAGACTCAATTGGCTCCTGTCGTCCCAAATTAAAATTGTTTTATTCATCCCAAACTCAACATGGCAACTGATATTAGAGGTTATATGACCATAACTGCATGCAACAAATTGAGAATATTTGCATGGGCGCTTTGATCCTTCAATTTTCTTTTTTTCTTGTCCACTTATTCTCCTAGTTTCTTGCAGTTATTTACCGGTGGCAAAGAGAATCACTGTGATTTTAAAGTTAACCAAAGTGTAACCAAGGGAACATAATGTAAATTCAGGCCCACGCTATTTATTTTAGAATTAGCTTGAGTGAACTTGCTGTCCATCACCATGGGAACTGCATAAGTAATAGGCACAACCCATTTTGACTCCGCAGCCCTTGAACCGTTTTCCAAAGAGACTGGGCCTGTTTTTGATGTGGTTGTGTTTCTGCCTGATTGTTTCATTGAGTTCATGAGTTCTAGTTTATGGATTTAGGTTTATGGTTTAAACACAGAAGTTGGTGTCCTATTGTGATCTACTCTCTCTTACTTGTCAACTCTGTTCACAGGCTGTGCCTTCGTCACATTCACAGCGAGACAGATGGCCCAGTCTGCAATCAAATCCATGCACCAGTCACAGACCATGGAGGTAAACACGCATACACTCATAAATGCCTATGCCCCAATGCATAGTATAAAGAGTATAAAGATAATATATACTATGCATAGTATATATCTTTATACTATGCTGTTTGTATGAATGTTAAGTTACATACATACATTTTTAAGGTTTTTACATTTTTATATATATATATATATTAGGGCTGTCAAACGATTAATCACAATTAGAAAAAAATATTATATTTATATTTATAGTATACATAATATAAATTATATATAAATCTATATACAGTATATACATGAAAATATTTCTTAAATATATACAAGCATGTGTGTGTATTTTTTATATATATATATATATATATATATATATATATATATATATATATATATATATATATATATATATATATATATATATATAAACGTTTTTCTATTTTTTCCAGTATTTAGATTTTTAGAACATTTAAAAGAACAGAATTTTGATTTCTGTTGTGTCCCTTAGGGCTGCTCTTCTCCCATCGTGGTGAAGTTTGCAGACACACAGAAGGATAAGGAACAGAAACGCATCACTCAGCAGCTGCAGCAACAGATGCAGCAGCTCAACGCTGCCTCCATGTGGGGAAACCTTACAGGACTGAACTCACTGGGGCCACAGTACCTTGCAGTGAGTACACGGGACAGATCCTGTTGTATCTGAGGTCTATGCACGTAGAAACCGCGCCACTCTTTAAAACATACAAACTTCACTGCATAAACTACACGAAGCACAATGAAAACATTCATATTTAGTACATGAGAGGTGTTCTTTTCCTCATCTAGGGCTGTCACAAAATCAGAATTTCACTAAATGATTATCATAGCCAGAATACTTCACAATAACATTATAATCACAATTTTGAAAGAAAAACAAATACAGTCAGTCAAATTTAACTTTATTTTTTCCAAACAAATTAAAACAAAATAAACAATCACTTAAAATATGTCGGTAGGTAGACGAGAGAGAGTTTGTAACCAAAAAACACTTACTGTTGATCAGCACTTCTTGCTGATTGGGGTGTCTAACATCACATGTTTTTATTTTTATGAATCTAAAACAACTCCCACACTAAAGAGCTCACTTTTTTGTGGTGATCTCCTCTGAGGTGATTTTGTGCGGCAGTAGTAGCTACACTCGCGTTTTCAGTAGAAACAAGCATCAAGGTGCAATACCGCCACCTCCTATGTGGAGTGTCAAGCAGATTGCTGGATCAATTATGATATTATCATTTGTGTGGTATTGATTTTTCTTAAGTATCACTTATCAATGCTGGTATATTGCGACACCCCTAGCTCAATTCAAAATGTAATTTGCTTTGTCAAAACTATAATGCATTATTGGTTTCATGTAAATTCCAAGTAATCGTGCAGCCCTACTACAGATGCAATCACACTTAAATCGATTTAGCTAATCGTGATTATGATATCGCAAAGGCTGTGGTTTAATTTTTTACGCGCTGCTTGTCATTGATGTACGGCTCTGTAAACACTGCTCCATCTGAAAGCACTACGAGTTGAGTCACTTATAATCTGTATTTGAAAAAGCAACACACGTCTAGTAACATCTTTCCAAACATGAGAAGCATTTATGAACCTCTATAACATGCTGAGCATTCTTCTGTGAGATGATGTGACTTCTTACACAGAATAAGGCAGTCATGTGGGGTTTTTTTTTTAGTCATATTTAATCAGAGCGTTTCAATCTTCTGTTTATTCAGCTACTGTATGTTGCCCAATAGGGATTTCCTGGAATGATGTGTGTTATCTATCTTCTGCGGTGGTGCATATTTGGCGTGTCTGCGTGAGCGCCCTCTGGTGTTCAACTGAAGCAGCATTTACTACGATCAGCGCACATAAAATAATTGCAGCCTTTGCCGAATCGCGTGCAGTTTCATTGCGATCTTAATCGTGCAGACCTAATCTGTAGTGAATAGATTAGATTCTGTGAGAGCCTTGTAATTAGATTTGCTTTAAAAAAGGTTGCTGTGTTTTTGCTGTGTTTTGAGCACATGGGCTACAGGTCTGTGTTTGGCCGTTATTTAAATGCATTTAATTGGGCTTCTCAAAATCCTGATTGTCTACGATTGGTTACTCCTAAAGTTACGGTTTAATAGGTTGTTACCGCACATGGGCCAGCATAGATGTGTAGCCCTGTTTGAATGTGTTAGTGCTGCTCCATGGGTGTGCTGTGAAAACTTCTTCTATCTTCATCTTTTCCCCTTCTAATCCTTTTCAGTCCTATTATAATTTCTGATCGCCCTTGAATGTCGACATTTCCCTCTTCTTTGTTTCTTGTTCACATGTGCTCCTGTTTGCCATTATTTTGCCTTGTTGCCTGATTTCTCTCTTCTCCGCTCCTCTTTTCTCCTCTCCGCTCCTCTCCATCACAGTCCTGGATGCAGTCCTGACTCTCTCTGTTCTCTGTTTTGATGTAATGTCTAGCTTTATTTGCAGCTTCTACAGCAGTCTGCATCCTCTGGAAATGCGCTCAACAATCTCCATCCAATGTCAGGTGAGAGTCTGACGTGTTTCGCTCCACTCAGACCCACTAGAAATGTTAGTTAGCTACTTTCTCAACCCATAAAATCATTGGTTCTGACTGCCTGTTAGCTTTAGGACGATGATAAGGGGTGTTGTGCATGTGAATGTTGGCGAGGAGGAAGTGTGTGGTGTTCTATAGTTCTTGATCTTCTGGATGGTCTGTGATCTGCGGCAGGTCTGAATGCCATGCAGAATCTGGCTGCATTAGCAGCAGCAGCGAGCGCTACACAGGCTACACCCACAGGTAGCAGTGCTCTGACCACCTCCAGCTCCCCTCTCAGTGTCCTCACCAGCTCAGGTATGCCCTCCGGACAGCCCGCTCAATCTGCCTGGGACGCCTACAAGGGTTGGTCCCGCTTTTTAATCTCCTCCTGTTAACTACTTATCAGTCTGTGAAATAGAATTGCTCTCTGTGGAATAAGTTCAAAACATTGGAGCTTTTATTCATTTTAGGTTAGTGTTGAATTTTAAATGTAGTATTTTTCATTAAGTAAAATTAGTTGATGCCTGATGTTATTTGCAAATGTAGAATCTTGGTTAAAGAATTGTACATTGGTAATGAAAGCTAATTTTGACAAATTTTACAAATTAAGTGTTAGCAATTTCTCCAAACATAAGCAGTGTAATGTGTTTAAAACATATATCTTGCTGTTCATGCATCACTCTACCCACCTTGAATCTTGATAATCCCCATCATTTGCTTTAAAGTGCGTTTTTTTGTTATTTGACTTGTTGACTTTTTGCACATGACTTCTCTCATTACTGTGTGCTGTTTCTTCTCAGCAGTCTCATTTGCTTTACATGTCTGTGCAGTGAGAGCATGTGAAATGTGAATTGGCAAAATTCCTGATGGATTAGTCATGTGTCAGACCTGGTTGTCTTCTTTCCTCTCCTCCTCACAGCGGGTTCCTCTCCCACCTCCAGTACTAGTAATTCGGTGAACCCCATGGCGTCTTTAGGTGCTCTTCAGTCTCTTGCTGCGGGCGCTGGAGCAGGTCTCAACATGAGCTCCCTAGCAAGTAAGGAAGAAGAAACGTTCACTGTTTTTGCTTTTGTATAAAGTCAGGTAGTGTTGCTAAATATACGGTTTGCCCATGTTATTAAAATCTCAGGTGATGTGGTCACATCAACAAAACAAAAAATGAGCACATAAAGTTACTTCTACGTGTTTAAATCCTTGCTATTGTCTGGAATGCATTAGGATGCATTTTTATTTACAGTATCAATATGAGTTTGAACTTTGTTTGCCTCATTTCTGTTTCTGCTTTATCTCCTCCTCTGAATACGTTTTTTCTGTATCCGTCAGTAGTTTTTGTGTGTCTGAAAGCCGAGCTGTGTTTCTGTGTGCGCAGGCATGGCTGCTCTGAATGGTGGTCTGGGCAGTGGAGGTCTTTCTAACGGCTCGGGGAGCACTATGGAGGCTCTGACTCAGGCAGCCTATTCCGGAATCCAGCAGTATGCCGCTGCCGCACTGCCAAGCCTCTATAGTCAGAGTTTACTGTCCCAACAGAACGTTAGTGCCGCTGGCAGCCAGAAGGAAGGTGAGTACATGGAGGTCTGATAAGCTTTGAGCAACTGTTTGGGTTGGAAGAGTGAAAGCCTCTGTACAAGAGAAACTGCTAGTTTATGCTAGCAGGGTCAGCTCGTAGTGTGTGTGTGTGTGTGTGTGTGTGTGTTTTGATGTGGCTCTTGTGATCACCATCTTAAGGATTCATTCTTGTTTTAAATATGCTGCAACAGCAAGTCCCAATCAGAGTGCCGGTAAGATATCATAATCACTCTCCACAATGTCCATTTTCTACATTTTGTTTTGTTTAAAAGTACGTGGAGATCCATGCCAGCAACTCTCTGCCAATGAATTCAAGAAGCATTCTGGGTTAAATACAACTTCAAGCCTGTCGGAATCATCTTTGGCATGCTTTTCTAATGCTTGTTTCTTTTCTAACAGTTTCTGCAGTTTTGGAAACCAGGATAATTTCTTTTCAGTATTCTTTGTTGAATAGAAAGTTCAAATGCATTTATTTGAATTTGTAAAGACATCTGTAATTTTAGAAAAGATTTGTCACATTTAATTTAATGCTGATTAATAGCTAAATAAAAGTGTGTATATATAATAATAATATTTAAATAATACTGACACTAGACTTTTGAATAGTAGTATATATTAGACCTAAGATTATTCATTTAAGATTAATGAGCCATTTTGTTAAGTAAAGAATGTTGAATATTCCTAAAGAATTTAAATTACAGTCTTCATCCTGAAAGACCTCTATAGATTTCACCTGCTGTTAGTACTATATCTATAACTATATCGGTCTATATCAGCAGGTATCAATAGATTATTTACGTCAAAAAGGTATACTGAAACTAGGACTGTAGATATACAAACTGTAACAGGCAGCGCTTGCTTGCCATTTTGAATATTACTCGCGCTGATCACGGTTTATTCCACTCTGCTCATGTTATTATAAAAAATTTTGTGCATTTGAATGCCTGGGTAATATGACAATCTAAACAGCCAATCAGAGTTCTCTCTCTCTCACCAAGGATCAACATGCTGAATTGGCCCAAAAAACCCAACGGCATCCGATTAGAGCCAATGGTGCGAGAAACGCCAAAAAACTAAGCTGACTGACGCTCAAAAACGGCCTGGTGGCCGACCGTCGGCTTGGTGTGTCCCAGCCTTTAAAGAGACAGCAGCTTAATAAACCAAAGGACAAAGAAATCATTCACTGCTCTTGACAGAATGGCTTTTGTGACTTATCTCTTAAGATTTATCGATTCGATTTAATTTATACACTGGAGACTGTATTTTACATTTGATTACTTTATTCAAATTCTGTACCTGAAAACTACTCAAACTAAAATAACTAAAATATCTGAAAAGCACAATTTAATTTGAATCTTTGGTCTGTTCTATTTATGTGTTCTATTTGTAATTGGGTTAAATGTTCTTATTTTATCTGTCTATTTATTCGTTTATCTGTTTTTAATAAATTGACATTAGTTAGTGCAGCCAAAAACTAATCACCTATCAAAATTGTGATGGAGAATTGTGATATTTCACTGCTAAAGCAGCTCTGAATATGTGCTGTGCCATTAAATGAAAGATAAAATAGGATCGAGGAATATACAATAAATGTACAATAAATTTTAACAATCATAATTAAGCATGAAAGTAACTAAAGGGAATAAATATTTCCTAAACAAATTAAATCAACAAATTTGTTTTGTTATTTTGGTTTCTCTACCTTGTATATTAAAAAATTACAAATGCAGTGACAATACAGGTATACCAAAAATGAAAGTATCGGCCTCGTTCTGGAAAAAGTGGTATCATCCATAGTAACACATAAACAAACCTTCATTCACCTAGAAATATATTCCCACATCAACAGAGCAATTTTTGCAACTGTTTTACTGAATACAATTAAAATGCTATATCATAATGATAGTTTTATCAACTTGGGTCTCTATTTTCTGTGCTGCTGCTGCATGTTGGAGTTGTATTTAACACAAAATATTCTTTTAAGCAAGTAGAAGATAAACCTAAATTTCAAATAAAAAGGGCGCTAGGCAGTCAAAAGTGATCTTTGTTTCTTTCTCTTCTGTTTTTCTAAAGGCCCTGAAGGAGCAAACTTGTTCATCTACCATCTGCCACAGGAGTTTGGTGATCAGGATTTGCTGCAGATGTTTATGCCTTTCGGCAATGTTATCTCTGCCAAGGTCTTCATTGACAAACAGACCAACCTTAGCAAGTGTTTTGGTGAGTCGAGTGCTTGCCTCTGATGTATATTCTGAGCCGTGGGTAACTATAGCCTCGTGTATTTGAGTCACTCGCTCACTTTCTTTCTTTTTTTTTTAGGCTTTGTAAGTTACGACAATCCAGTTTCGTCCCAGGCGGCCATTCAGTCAATGAACGGTTTTCAGATTGGAATGAAGCGGCTGAAGGTGCAACTTAAACGATCCAAAAATGACAGCAAGCCATACTGAGTGCTTTTACTCTCAAATGGACTTGTTTTGAAAATGTTTTTCTGGTAAGTGGAGTGTGACGTTGGAAAATTATAATGACCCCACCCACCCTTAACACCTGCCTTTCCTAATCTTTCTTTTACTTCTCTGGCCTCTCCTACATAACTTCTCTCTTAACCTTAAAAACAAAGACAACATGCAAATTGTTAGCATTATGAATTTGTTCCAAGGAGAAATTCGTGTTTTTTTTTTTTGTTTTTTTTTTACACATTTATATATCTAATTGTTTTGTGGATATTTTGTTTTCCCTCAAGTCTTTATTATTATTTTTTTGGTGCCATATTACAAGTTTGCTGTGTATAAATCTAAATCTTGCGTCAAAGGATGTTGCACAATGAAAGCCAGCCTGCGTGACTGCTTTCAGTCCCTTAGACTGTTGATCATCACGGTCTGGCCCCTGTAGATGTTCTCCTGTGTTTACACTAGACTCTTGTAGTACATTCGGACAGTGTAATGCTGATGCCTCCTCCTACAATGCTGCCTTTCTAGAAAATGAAGGAGGCTTGCTGCATCGGTGCAAAAGATAATCAATCAGTCACCTGAATATTGTATTGAGCATCTGGAAGGTCAGGCTGCACTTCACTAGACTCCGTTTTCATGGATGCCTTTTTAATTAATTCATTTATTTATTTCACTAATTTATTTATTTATTTTTTTTAATGTATCTGTGTCTTCACAATGAGGGTGATGTAACATTGCTTCAAAGTCTGTTTTATGTATTCTGTTGGAGGGCTCAACTAACAACAGTAATGATGATATGCTTTTTGCTTGTTTTTAATTCACATTCATATTTTTTCACATTCTAAAAAGACAAACACTAAGCAAGGGTATTATATCACGTGCTGGTTCATAGATGGTGGTCAATCATTTAGTATTGCTATTTTGCTGGAGATGCTACACTTACTCTCAGGACATTCTCACCATTCTGTCAGACCAAAACTACTTGCCCATTATTCTACTCACCTGGTACATGATGAAAAAAGTGGAGTGCTTCATTTCAGTTCATGAATCCTTTCTTAAAAGCCTCAAACAAAAATACCATTTTTTTTATTCTCTGGAAATTGCTGAAGAATCACAATGGTAGCACATATTTGTACACAATCTACAACATGACTTTTATTTTGATGGTCATTCGATACATTATCCTACACCTCGACTCAAGAGGTTGGTCTTGAAGCTTTTAGCAATATTTGCATTCTGGAAAAGAGTGAGAGGTAATGTTGCCAAGAACATGAAAGAAGGAAGGAAGTTTACGATTGCTGAATTCACGGCCACTTAATTGTCCGAATGAATTAAGTCAATTCAATAAGTATTTTATTCTCGGTGTTTGCAGGTGGTCTCTTTTACCCTGGTATATCAAGAGTCCTCGGACTCTCAGTTGACCTTGTGATCGTGTATTTGAGTCACTCCATGCAGCTCACTTTAGTTGACCATGGCAGTAAATTAGTGTTAAATAAATACGTAATCAAATGTCCTGCGGGGTCGTGAAGAAGATTGTTTTTATGGAATTGAGAAGAAATCATTATTCAGATAGTGTATATTACTTAACTATTATGCCTTTTCTATTTTTATAGAGGTTTTATAATATTGCCTAAATAATTTCTCTGAATTAAAACGGTTGTTTAAAAAAATCACTCAAAAGATTCAACAGTGTTTTTGTAGAATCCTTATGTGAAGTTTTGTGGATACATTCACCGATTGTTAAAACGACTGATGTGTGGCCATTTTCACTAGTTTAAGTGTCCTCCGTTAATCAAAAAAAATTGTACCAAGAGCTTTTTTTTTAAGTCTGAAGCAGATCCACGGTTCAGTCTAAAGTTCTTACTTAAGATCTCTAAACTAAGTACATTTACATGTGCAGTGATGAATGCTGAAATGTGCTTTTATCAGAAGTCATTCGTTTATTTCCTCACTGCATAACTTGAGCTCAGTCGCAATTAGTAAAAATGACTGAAATAGGTGTATTAGACTTTTTATTTTTTATTATTGTTGTTGTTTGACATTTACCTCACTATTGTCTTCACTGTTTGAAACGCTTGTATTTATTATTAATGGTGTTTTTTTTATTTTCACTGATTAATTGCAAATTAGCCAATTCTTGTTAACCTCACAGTCTTTCTATTTTCATTAAGTACAGACACACTTCCAACAATCCAGGTGAGGAAACGTGTGCCACTCTTGCGACAGATATGCCGGTCTGTATGCCTTTTTTAGAGACGCTTTAGACTGAACCCAGGTGTGAAGCCCATCTTGAAGTGTTTAGATGCTAGTGCAGGGAATCCCGAGTCCCTGGTCTGTGCCTCTTTTCAAATAAACGCATACATTACAAAAACCATTTAGTGGAAGAAAAATGCGAAGGCCTCGGTAATGTCCGAGTTGCACCACGAATCACCATTTTGAACAATCCAAAGATTCTTGTGAACTTGTTCTAGGCAGGGATTTTTGTTTGTTAGACAGAATCTTTTCATAGTTTTGTTGCTTTTCATCCAGAGCAGATTGACTGGCGTTTGTGTAAAGGTCTGCAGATTTGTGCACCTTAAAACAACTCACAAGTGCAGAGTAGAGTCCACTTATGTGCCAAAAACATCAAGTCTTAAATTTCTGTACACGTTTAATAATGATGCTCTGTGTCCCATCATGTTGTTGTCCTTCACGGAGTTCAATGTAGCTAAACTGTATCCATTTGTTACCCATGGCAGGTGTTTTGTGAATAAGAACCAATATGAGCAGCTCCAAATATGCATTATTCCACAGTCCCACACAATTCAAAGTTGAAGCACAAAATAAAGACTTTCACTGAAAGAGCTGAAACATTGAAGCACAATTTTTCTTTTTGTTTCTCTCTCTCTCTCGGTCTAAAATCAAAATGTGGTTGAAGTTAAACATTTTTATTTTTTTTTTTCATTTGAGTTCAACTGTTGCTGTCGAGGACAGTGTCGCAGCTGTAGTAGGCAGGTTGTGTTTTCTCGACGTTGTCGTTTAATGTTATTCCCTTTGTTCACTATTGGCATGGTGCTTACTTCTCCCTCTTTCTTCCCACTTTTCTTCATTGTTTCCTGTGTTGCATTCAGTGTTTTGTGTTTAGACCATGTGCATCTTTGAAAGCCCAACCCCATGTAAAAATAATCATTCATAAGTTTCTTTCATCCCCTCTCCTTTTTCCGTTGTGCTTTAACCTAGGTTTGTTATTCGTTTTTTTTTTTTTTGTTCTAGATATCTTCGTGCCCGTTTGTCATCGTTTGCCTAGCATGTCGATGTGACGTCAAAAGTTCATCGTCCAGTCCGTTGTCCTCTTCGCTTCTCTGACGCTTGAAATTTCACACTTGACCTTTTTTGTTAACTTTTGACGCTTATTGATTACTTATTTTGTTTGTTTCTTTGTGTGATGTTCATTTCTGTCATTTGTGCTGCCAATAGGGAGCGTTAGAAAGACTGCTAAAAGTGTAAAGTTTCATGAAAATTGTTCTGAGCAAAGAGTCTATTTTTCTAGAACGTACAAACATAACCACTAGATTTTTGCAGAAGCTTTTAATTTTCAATGTTTAATTTCTCAGATTTATTTTTTCTTTATTGGTTTTTATTGTTTTAAGCAGTCTTCCTAGCGCTTCCAATTGTTTGTTGTTTTTGTTTTTCTTAAAGCAGCCATTCAGTTTATAGAATCACTTTTTTTGTGTGTTCAAGTGTGGGTGTGTTTCCCTTTCTCTCACTTGTTAGTTCTAAAACTTTTAGAGGATGTTTTCGTCACATTTTGCTGAACTTGAGGATAAACTTTGTAATTTTGTGTTAGGTTAGTTGGCATGATGTAATTTTGGGAGTTTTTATTAACAGAGTGACATTACAATAGACACTTGAATTGCCTTTTTTCTTTGTGTGTCGAGCCAACATAGGCACATGTTTTTCATTTCCTTATTGTGTGAAAATCAGGATTAGCTGAAATAATGCATAGAATGAGCAGAGTTGAATTTCTTGTCACAGGTAAATATTAAGCATGCATGTTTTTTTGTAAGTGCACTGAAATCCTCAGCAAAATGTGATCTAGTTCTGTTTCAAAAAGTCAAGATGAATAAAGTGGTGCCAAAAGTTTTGCATGTTGCTGTTGGTTACATTTGCAGTATGTTTCACATCATGTTTATGGCTCCTGCTATAATGACACGTACTCGTTTTGATGGTTTAAGAGTTTTAAAAAAACAATACAATGTGTGTTTAGGTAGTGGGTTAAAGTGAGTTTTAAATGCATTCTTGTTACAAAAACTGAAGTGATTTTCAAATGAGCCCTGAGATATAAATGATTGTGCCTACAACAGCAAGGACATAAGCTCTTTAAAATGTTCAGTTAATGACAATTTGTTATAACTAGACAGTTGGTCTGTTTTACACTCAGCTTGCAGGCATTTTTTCCCCCCGTTCTGGCATCTGTACAAGTTGTGAAGTTCTGGACTGATTGGTAGTGCTCAACTTCAGCTTTGCCCCTAAACCTTTAGTTTGGGGGGGAAACTCTCTAATGTCCAACATGTCTACATGGATGAAGAGCTATTTTTTATTATTATTATTATTAATAAGATGTATTCTGACAGATTTATCTAATTGGGGGTTGAGGTGGTTGTTTTCTATTTAGATTTTAAGCTGCTGTTTTGTGAGTTTATATGTATTCTGAGAAAATTTCCTGTGGGATGTTTGTCATTACTGGTACAGAGTGATTGTATTTAACATTTAAGATTTGTACAGATTTTGCCTTTTCTACTTCATAAGTTGTTTCACAATGTAAGTCCCAGTAAGTAGAAGCATGTAGACTGTAACGCCATGACCAAACATCAACCTGTACAAAATAACCAAACCACAAAAAAAAAAAAAAAAAAAAAAAAAAAAATCAACTCCACAAAACAGCCTTTAACGGGAGATTTTTTTTATTTTATTTTTTTGGTCATTCAAGTTGTGTGGTTTTCATTGGAAGTGTAGAGAGTGCAGAATTTATTAGATGTCTGAAACAAGTGTGTTTGTATTAAGTTGGTTGTGGATTTTATGCTACTGTCTCTACAGAAATCTAGAAAAGTGGACACCTACAAAACAGTCATCTGGTAGTTTATCTTTAGTTCATGTATGATTAAACTGTTTGAAAAGATGCACGCACTGTCTGAATTCATTTGTTTTTTTCTCAATTTAAAAATGATAGAAATGCACATGCTTTTTTTTTTTTTTGTCAAATGGTTTGATATCTTGATTCATTTTCATTGTACTTAAACATCTCAATTTAGGGTGATCCTTTTAGCCAATATTATAAATATGCAATAGTTGCTAGTCCAATTCATTGTAATTGGTTATTTTTATGCTAGCTATAGACTAATCAGACAAATTATACTATTTGTACACTACTTTTTTCCCCAAGTTGTTTTTAGAATCCTGTACTCTGCAAACTCAACGCATGGAAAAGCTAACAGCGCTGTACAATGCTTCAGTAACAGTTCCACTTTACCATCTCATCTGCAATAAAGAACAAATGTGACAATTCAAACTTGAATACAGCTATTGAACTTTCAGAATTTGTTTGCATCATATGCCTGATATTGTGTTTTTATACATCAATTTATATATTAAAGGGGTGATGAACTGAGAAATCAATTTTTCCTTGAGCTTTTGACATCTAAGGGGTCATCATATTATAAGAATATCTGTCCTCGTTAGTCCAATAAAAGCTTAATTGAAACCAGGCTCTGAAAATGACTCGTTTTTAAAAGTGGGGAACTATGACGTCGAAGGGGTTAAAACACCACCCCCGCAGAAGAAGATACTTCAACACGGCCGGTTTAGCCCCGCCCACCGATTCGCGCATTACACGCATAGCTAAGTAGCCTAACATACATGCCTACCTCGTGATGACAAACCGGATCGAGCTACCGAGCAATACAGAATATTGTGCAGCGCCTGGTTGTGGAAGACAGTCGCTGCATAAGCTTCCTCTGGATTCCAATAGGACTGCATGGATAAACTTTATTTTTAATGACGTTCCAGCTGATGAGGGTAAAAATCGCCATCTGTTCGCTTCATTTCACTGAGGATTGTTTTGTAAAAAGACTGGATTTGCAGACCAATTATGAGTAAAGATTAAAGGACAACTCCGGCGCAAAATGAACCTTTGGGTCTAATTACACATTGTTACCTATTCAACCGTTATCTGAGATTTGTTTTCATGATTGCGGAATGTAAATAGTTTTATCTCTAAAAACAGTTTAGCCTATAACGCTAGTATATAGGGCATAGAGTAATGACAAATAAAAATCGCTTGTTATTACCCCTAACAAGGCTCAAAATAGCCCCACACTAACACGACAGCATAATAAGGGTCCCTACATTCAAACTGAAGTATTGAGAACTTTGTCAGTGTCCAAACAGTTTAATAAGAAGATATTTTATACACACAGTCAACTTCGTGAATACAGGAAGAAGCCATCTTTGAAAAATAGTCTCTACCAATCGATCTACGAACACCGATCCATGTGCGCTGGTGAGATGTGAATAAGGTGATAAGGTGAGCGCGAACAGTAGGCAACGTGTACATATTGAAGAGAAGAAAACGGTTCGTGTTTGTGTTTCTTCCGGAAACAACTGACCATATGAGATCCTGCACAGTTCAGCGCACTTGGATCAGCGTTCGTAGATCGACTGGTAGAGACTATTTTTCAAAGATGGCTTCTTCCTGTATTCGCGAAGTTGACTGTGTGTATAAAATATCTTCTTATTAAACTGTGTGGACACTGACAAAGTTCTCAATGCTTCAGTTTGAATGTAGGGACCCTTATTATGCTGTCGTGTTAGTGTGGGGCTATTTTGAGCCTTGTTAGGGGTAATAACAAGCGATTTTTATTTGTCAATACTCTGTGCCCTATATACTAGCGTTATAGGCTAAACTGTTTTTAGAGATAAAACTATTTACATTCAGCAATCATGAAAACAAATCTCAGATAACGGTTGAATAGGTAACAATGTGTAATTAGACCAAAGGTTCATTTTGCGCCGGAGTTGTCCTTTAAGAGTAAAGAACGTGTTGTGCCGTCTATATTGGATCTGACAGGAATTGTGCAACACACGGACTCTTGGTCGAACATGTATGGGCGAATTGCCATTTGACAACATTGGACGTTTTCCCCCACTTGCACCGACCGGGTGAGTTAAACTCAAAACTCAAAACTGTTATCCACTCACAGCAGTGGGCATTTATTTCCAAGTTTTCAGTGCGACACGCCCATAAAAATCGAACGTTTTTCAGGAAGGCTCACAACTTGGGTACAAAATAGCCTATTACTTATTCATTTTGATGTTTTTGAATGCAAAAACCAAGCGAACGTCATAAATTGTCCTCAGACAACAATATAATGAAATTTAAAAAGCCAGTTCATGACCCCTTTAACAGTCGTCACTCAACGAGGATTGTGTATTTTCTTTACGATTTAAGTTAAATAGACCATATATCAAACTACATTGCATAGGTCAAGGGACACATTAGTGTGTAGAAATTGGCTAATTAAAAAAACTATCTAGGCTTTATCCATCACTCCTGCCACTATGGTAGTGACAGGTAAGTGTCAGAGTTTACTGTTTTTGAAGGCGCCACCCACATCTTCACCACAGAGAGGAGGGAGGTGGTTATACTTGGGCCTGATGTTCATCTGGATAGATCTTGAATATGGATCCCGACTGACAATGCGGTGCATGTTTACACGGTCCCTCTGGAGCTCTCCGAGGCTTTTTTCAATTTTAACCACACCACTCTTTCCAGAAGTGTCCACTTTCTCTGGGTACAGATCGTCCCCTAGGTATCAGAGGGGGGGGGGGGGGGGGTGGGGGGGTGTTTTGGGGTCAGTTTTGTGCACTCTTATCTTATCAAGAAGCAACATTAAGCAGACAGCTGAAATAATTTATTATGTGACAATTACCTGGTAAAAGACCTGCATGGCAGTCAGGTGACACCAGGAGAATAGGCAGCCACTGCTCACATCCCTCTAAAGACCTCTGCCAGGCAAAGCGATGGAGATCTCCGAGAGCTGGGAAATGGGACATTCGTCCAAGGTCGTAGTACTGAGGTGGAGCTATCCAGATTTCCTTTGATTTGTAGCTGTGCAGCACTTCTGAGGGAGTGGCCCACTGAGAGACAAGGCAGTTGTGTTATTTCCCAACATACAAGAATCGGTTGTTCTCATCAGGGTGAGACCAAACGACCTAATAGAGCATCAAAGTCCTGCCCACAGCCGGTGCCAGAAGTAAAAATTCAATATAATTTCTCCATTGACATTTGAGATACAAGCCATATGGCTGTATTAAGCGATTGTGCTCATATAAATGCCAAAAGTTCATGGGGCACTAACCTTGTTTTAAGATAAATGCCTTTTGTTCGCCATGTATTGGATAAGTACTTCATTACCCACAATCCTGAACAATCCTACAGTGATGCATCTGATTGGTGGAAGTCGTGTCACGTGTCTGAAACCCCGCAAAGGTATGTGACAGACTGAAGATCGTGTAATGACGTAGGGCTAAGTTCATTGTTTCACCTAAGTTCACCTCTGAGACGCCCCCGCACCATTGGATGTGCTGTTGCCGCAGTTTCCCTGCACATTGACTATATAAAATCACGTGAAAAAGTTCACGTGGCCGTTGTCAGATTTGGAAGTCATTCAAAAGGCTCTTTTATGGTGGCTTCAGTCAACTTTACTGAGGCGCGTTGGCTTATGGGAGGAGTAGTTCTTTGCTTGGAAATGAAAATATGTGCACAGGCTTGTACCCTTGACTTTTCTCTTGACTTTTCGTTATTTCACTCGAAATGATATGGTGTATGCTTATGAGTTCAGCCGTAGCTGGTTATCCTCAGCCATGCTCTAATACTCTTTAGATATGGATTTTACAAAATGTCAATAGGAGAAATGAATGGGAAATTTTAACTTCCGGCACCAACGCTCTCTCGGGCTGTGCGGGACTGTGATGCTCTATATGGCCTGGTTTATGAATATTAATTATGTTCCGTGACGTTTGGACACTTGCTAAACGGCGTAAAGTGGGCGAAGCATTGCTGGCGATGAACGCTTAACTTAATATTAATCAGGACATGGGTGGACGTTGCAGAAAATACATTGACATTGACGAGCAAAGTCTTTTCAACTAATTGGTCACGAATACATGAACTGATGAAATACACGCTCAGTCATTGAGTGTCTGCCAAATACAACTTAAAAATGTATCAAGGTATCTATACCATTCAAAACGAACCTTAAAATGAACGATTTCCTTCTCGTCGTGAAGCGTGTATGGAATCTCGTCTAGGCAGCAGATGTAAAATGCAGTGTCGTACCGCCTCTGTTTGCCTAAGGGTGTCAACCAGTTCCCCCATTCATGCAAAGCCCAGATGTTGGGCAGACACTGCAACTCCCGACACATCTTGATAAAATTCGCCGGGTTATCAATAACCTGAGATCTCCACTTAGACAGCACGTCTTTACTCCACAGTCCGGTCAATCTGGTCAGTGTTGGCTGGCTGTCACTGTTATCATCCGTGTGCACGCGAATCCCGCTTTCCTCGTGTTTGGGAACCGCCAGGAGCACACCTGACTCCTCAAACGTCTCTCTCACCGCACAGATCCTGAAAGCCACATCTCCCGGTATCGGAGATCCCAGCTGAGATCTGTCAGTGGCGAAAATGGGTGGCCTGCTCGCCGGTGGCTGCTTCACAACTCCGATGCCGTAGTTGGGCGCTTCGGTAAAGGCTTTAAAGATCTCCTGCCACTCGCTGGAGAAGTCAGACGATTCCACCAGCCCCCCGGGAAACACGTAGGCATTGGGCATATACCCGCTGCGACCGCTCCGTTTCAGCAGCAGCACTTGATAGTCGAAGGCAGATTTGTGTGCAATATCAGTGACTTTTCCCAGACCTGCTTTAAGAGAGTCCGCAGTCGGAGTGCGTCTCAGCCCGGCCGCCAGGATCACCGTCGCCGCCTCTCTCCAGTGTTTCAGCGCCGTGTTCATCTTGCTCACTGCTTACATGATCACAGCTATAACGTACTTATCCGGAAACTTTCGACATCGGTCAACAATGGCGTAAAGGACAGGACAGCGCAGAGAAAATAATAATCTATT